CCATCAGACAGATGGATATGAGTGAAACTTGAGAGAGTGTTACCAAGTGGGTTTTTTTTTAAGCCAGAGCTATATGCTAGGCTGGGCCCTAGAGATACAACATGATTCAGACATATGGTTCATGCCCTGAGAAGCTTCCTGATAAGACTTGGAGTCCCAAATTCTGAGTAGCTACATACTACTCCCTGCTCTGGACAAGCCACTTAAATTCTCTGAAACTCAAGTTGCTTATTTATAATTACTGATCTCATATGATTAGCTGAAAATTAAACAAGATAGTATGTTTAAAAGCATAACATAAACTCCTGTGCAAGTGAAGGCTTATAAGGAAGCTCACAGTCTGAGGGGGTAAACATACGATTACACAGCATCGTATTCTTAAGTGCTTCCTTATAGAACAAAGCCATATAGCAATCTTATTGAACTCATGAATCTGCAAAGGCTTCCTGAAGGAGATCCAATAGAACATGCCTTGAAGCCTTGAAGGCTGGGCAGGTTTATAAAAAACAAGAAGACTGCTCTGAGACAGAAAGCATGCTCAGGCCAAAGGATTGGGATCAACTAAACATGCTTCCCAGTGCCTATTCCTATTTACAGGTAGTAATGTTCCATTTTCATATATCTACCCATTCCTTTGAGGCCTGAAAATCATCAATGTATAATATTAAACAGCCAACACCTCCTGTAGAATGAGCCCTGTGTTAGGTGCTGTGAGGGAGATGTGACCCCTATTCCCCAGGAATCAAATTTGCCTTCAGTTCCTAATTTTCTTGTCTCAAATTATCTTGCAAACATGTATCATTTACTAGGTCTGTTTATTAATTTATTCACTCCTATTTCATCCCAAAAATAATTTGAGATGACTAGTAGCTTCTATTTATTAAGTGGTTGTATATTCACCACACAGTGTATGCCCATTTCTTTCGTGTATTCTCTACTGTAACCTTATGAAGTGGATGGTGTTGATTACACTGTACAGATAAACAGGCTCAGAGAGGATAGTCTGCTTGTGATCACAAAGTTAACAGGTGACAACGGAGATTTGAACCCAGGATTGACTGGCTCCAAAGCCTATGCTCTTTCCAACATACCCTGCTGCTTCTATTTTCTCTGTAAATCTTCCCTGCCTTATCATGTGGGTGATAGATATTTCCTTGCTTTTATTTTCCAAGTAAAATCAGTAGTTTTAATAACTGTCATCAAATAGGTAAATAAGTGGATTCTCATTTTGATTTTTAATATAGGTAGTTACTGAAGTAACTGGAAGCGTGAACATGCCCACCAGAACTCCCAGCTCCTAAGGATTCCTGAGCATGAGCAGATAGTCTCTGAAAGCATTTCCACAGATGTATCCACAACTATAGATTAGATTCTGGTCCTCTGATATTAGAATAAAGTACTAAAAATTGTACTGCCTTGAATATAGTCTCACTGAATCTTGGGTAGACTAATTTTCTTTATGGCTTGTTCAAAGTCTGATTGCCAGAGTGCTTCTGAAGCTAGAGGCTAGTGTGGGAAATTTGAGGGGTCTGGTGCCCTACCTTGTAATGAGAGTGATATGTGTTGCTGTTCAGATCTGCAGACTATCACCAGGGATTCCCAAGCGGCTTTGAGTTCTCACCGAGCCAGGAGTAGAAACAACAAGGCCACCACCCTCCCAGATGCTCGGGACACAGAGGCACTGCAAGAACAATGCACAATGCCAGATGAGCCATTGGCAAGAGCTCCAGATAAGGGCACAGATTCCCCACCACCCCCTCCTCTTGAAGAGACTTCAAATGGAGGAAGAATGCTCCATGAGTCCCTGAGGCATACAGTACCCATTACAAGGATGCAGAGCAGTGAAGACACTGAGGCAGGCCCAGCCTACAGTGATGAAGACTATGAAGAAGACATCATTGAGCCCAGGACCTTAAATGAGATCACCACGGTGACAGACAAAACTAGCCCTTGGTCTAGTTTCATATCAGACACAAGTGACGTCATCAGCCCTCAGCCTGACGAGGTACAGAGGGAAGGCCCCTCTTGTCCTTCTCCAGGGCCTTTCTACAAAGAAGAGCTTACGGTCAAAAGTAGCTTTCTTTCCAGCCCAGAAAGGGCTATCAACTCCCACCTGCCTAGGGAGGGTTCTCCTAGCCAAAGTCTTGTTGCTTGTGAGGGTGAGGCCTCTAAGGCCAAGATTAGTGGCGAGTCTGCCTCAGCCAACCCTCAGCCCATCCCATGCCCGACACTCTCAGGAGCCCAACAGAGCAGGACATTTGTTGGATGGAGTTCACCACAGGCAGATCAGAACAAGGAGCCCAAGTCAGAGGCCCCTGCCGAGAATGAAGCTGCTACCAGTGAGCTCAGTGACTCTGCTGATAGCTTCAAGAAGTTGCCACTAAACCTAGCCTCCCAGAGCAGAAGGGAAAAACATAAGGGACCACCCATCAACTCCTCTGACATCAGGCAGAGGCAAGTGACAACTGGATCAGAGACATCCACAAAGCATAGCCTCCTACTGTATCCTTTGGCATTTCCCACAAGTGGTTTGGATGCTGGTGCTAAGGCTAGCCTAGTGTGAGTGTGAGCAAGTGGCCACCCTCATGGAATGCACTGGGGGGCATGGGAAGACCATTCCTTCAGAAGACCCCACCTGCATGACAGGTGCTACAGTTTTACCATTAACACCAGCCCTCAGAAACATAATGCCTTGAACTGGGTTTAGGCATTGGTAGCACATTAGCCTAGCCTACCCTGATTTATCCAATTCATCTGTTGGATATTTTACCACCTGAAGGCAAGGCTCAGCATCTAAGGAATGAGACTATTTATCTCAATTGAAAGAGAAGCAGAGGGGCTAGAGAAAGAGGAAAGTAGATCACTGCCATTGAGCACTTTATGCACATTTTTCATTTAGTCATCACAAGTCTTTTAGGTAGGTATCATCTCTATTTTGCATATATAAGGAAACTGATGCTCAGTTATCGTGACTTGCCTACTTTTTCTTTTTTAAGAGACAGTTTGTTCTGTCACCCAAGCTGGAGTGCAGTGGGATTATCATACCTCACTGCAGCCTCAGATTCCTGTGGTCCGGTGATCCTCCCACCTCAGCCTTGCAAGTAGCTAGAACTACTAGGTATGCACCATCACACCCAGCTAATTTTTTTTAAGAGTTGGGGTTTTGCTGTGTTACCCAGGCTGGTCTCAAACTCCTGGCCTCAAGCAATCCTCCTGCCCCAGCCTCTCAAAATGCTGCAAGTAGAGCATTTGAGCCACCATGCCTTGCCAGATTAAATTTTTTTTAAAAACCAAGTGATGGAGCTAAGCAGGCACCATGGAGATGGACTTTCCCAAGGCCCCAGTAAGGTACTGTTGATGGGAACAGGGGGCACCTGACATTCCCTACTCCCTCCTTTTAAACACAGACTGGCATGTTATGGGGAAAGGAAACCACTTAGGACCATCTACAGCCTTCACACCTGTGACCTAACCAACTGATTAGATCAGCTCACCTGCTATCCCAACAAGCAGGGAATATTGTGTGGCTGGCAGGTGAAGCAGGCTGCTTTACTAGACTAGAAATCTTCCTCTACTAGAAGTCAGGGAGCCTGACTTTGACCCTTCTAGACCCACAAAATGATTTTTGTGATTATAGACATATAGTTTAATCTTTATGAGCCCGTTTCTTCACCTATAAAATGGAGGCGGAAATCCCTTACCCACCAAACTATAAGCTCCCCAAGTCAGGGACCTTGTCTTTTTCTGCATCCTCAGGACCTAGCACTACCCAGAGAAGGGATTTGTCAGTATAGATTGGATTGAACTATCACAGTTTCACAACATTGTTGAGAAAACCAGATGAGTGGAAACATTTGTACGTACCACACAGTATGATTCTTGATGCAGATCAGAGAAAAACCTAGGGGTGGGAGAGTGGGCTCAGGAAAGGGTTAAAGCATGCAATGGCTGGAGGCTGAGCATTGAAAACAGACCTCCTCATGTGCAGTTCTCCCTGACCTTGCCTATCCTGGATCCTGGACCCTGATGTTGCTGCCTTTGCAGTCAGTATTAATTGTGCTCAGAATATGGCCGATGGAGGAGCTGCCATATGTGTCCAGACCCTAAGCGCTGCTTTAACTTAGGCCTTCCTGACTATTCTTTCAAAAATAAATCGTGCCAGGCCCTGTGCTGGGTGCCAAGGACAGATTTGAATGAGACCTTACCTCGAGAAGTTCCCATTATGAGATAGGAGACGGTCAAATAGATAGATACTGACAGTTTATTGTGCCAAGTACTGTGATGAGACTTGGACAGAACGCAAGGGAGCGTGAGGAGGGAGCTGCCCTAACTCTACTTGGAGCCATCCCAGTAAGAGAGACAGGAGAGCCAGGCCTTAAAGATGAATAGGCATTGTGCAATAGAGACAAGGAAAAGTTCTAGTCAGGACAAACTGTATGTGCAGAGGCCTCACTGGGTGAAGGCGGCTGCCTGTGGGCAGTAGTTCACTGTGGCTAGAGTCCAGGGATGAGGGGATGGTGCAAGGTGAGGCAGGGCCTGGATCTTAAAGGACTTCTATGCCTGGCTGAGGTACTTGGACTCTATTCTAAAGCAAAGAAACTTCACTTTCCTCATCTGGAAAATGGAGGTGATAGTAGTACTTACTGGGTTGTTGTGAAAATGAAAATAATCATGTAAACTGCCTAGCACAATACCTGGTACATGGATAGTGTCCACTGTTAAGCAAGAGTGTGGTATGATGTACGTATGAGAAAAGTGTGGTATGATGTACGTATGAGAAAAGAAGTCACCCAATGCCTTGCAGAGGGCAGGTTAAGAAAGGGAAGACTAGAAGCGAGGAGGCTAGGTAGGACACTTGCAATAATAAAAGAGATGAAGAAAGTCTGACCTGAAGTATAGACTGCTTTATGATGAAAAGGAGGGGAACAGATCTGAGAGGATTAGATAGAGGGGCAGGGGATGAGACAAAGGAAATAATAATTAGAGGTTTCTGTCACAAGTTACCAGGCAGGTGATACCATTTACTGGATAGGAAACAGCACATAGACGCGTTTGGGAGATGATGCAGGTTGCCCTTTGCGGCATGTGCCTGTAGGACATCCAGGAGGAGATGCAGGCCTGGAGTTGAGGGCTGAGCTCAGCCGTAAAGGGAGGCATCTCTGGGAATCGATGAGGGCAGCAAGAAGAGCCTGGGAAGGGGGAACAAAACACACAGAGGCAGACTCTGAGCATCTTCAGTGTGCAAAGGAGAAGCAGGACAGGGCATGCCCACAAAGGAGGTGAGGAGAGCTGGTCGGGAGGTGGGAGAAGCAGCAGAGAGAGGTGCCATGGGAGCCGATGCTGCAGAGTTTCAGGACGTGGTGGTCAACACTGATGCTGCACGTAGGTCCAGGAGAATGTGGCTGACATGTATCACTGGTTTTAGTGTTAAGGAGGACCTTGCATTGGTGAGAATGGAAGCCAAACTTCATTAGTCAAAGGAGCTAAATGGTGAGGACAGTGAGAACAGGCAACTTTTTCACATAAACTGAGGAGATAAGAATAACTGACATTTATTAAGTGCTCACTATGCTAGGCACCATTCTAAACACTTGACATTTATAAATTCATTTAACCCTCAAAACAATAAGTACTAATACATTTAAAAATGGAGAAATTGAGGCACAAAAAATGAACTTCCCTAAAGTTATCCATCTAGTAAGTGACAGAGAGCTGGGTGGCAACTAGAAGACAATGCAAGGTCAGGGGTTTGTTTGGTTTTTTTCCCCTAAATGGGAAACTTGAACATTTTTATGACTGAGGAACAGGATCTTAAAAGTTCATGAGGCCAGACATAGTGGTTCATGCCTGTAATCCCAGCACTTTGGGAGGCCAAGGTGGGAGGATCACTTGAGGTCAGGAGTTCAAGACCAGCCTGGGTAACATGGTGAAATTCCATCTCTACTAAAAATACAGAAATTAGCCAGGTGTGGTAGCATGCACCTATAATCCCAGCTACTCTGGAGGCTGAAGTAGAGGAATTACCTGAGCCCAGAAGGTCAAGGCTGCAGTGAGCCATGATCACACCACTGCACTCCAGCCTGAATGATGGAAGTGAGACCCTGTTTCAAAAAAACGTGTAATAAAATAAAGTTGGTGGGAGAAAGTGGCTGTTGGGACAGGACCCTAAAGCACACATGAGGCAGTGGGCTGGGAAGGAGACTTCCATGCTTCAGAGCCAGCCCTGCCACCTCACAGCAAAGTTCCTTCTTCCCCACAGCATCAGCTGGCTGGCAGGCAGGCCCCAGCAGTTTCAGCAACAGCAAATAGACCCTACCTCACCCGGGCCTCTGCAGAAGGCCTGGGGTCAAAAGGTCTTTCCCTTTGGGATCTCCATTCCTCCCCACCTCTCTACGGAAAAATCAGGGACTTGAACCAAAGCAAGAAATCAATGCATTTCATTCATTCACAAGGTATTTATTGAGTACTTACTATCTCCCAGGTACTATGCTAGGTGACAGGAATATGGTTATGAAAAAGATCATCTCTGCCTTCTTGGAGTGTAGAGTCTAGTGTAGAAGAACGATGATAAAATAGAAAAGGTGGTAAGCAAATTGGAGTGAGAACCACACTTAGCTTATTAAACAGAAACAAAAAATTGGAACATCAAAATAGTTCCCTCTTTACCCCCTTCAGAGTTCAACTAAACTGAATCAGTTATTTGATTCAAAAAATAATGAGAATATGTGGAACACCACATGCTCAACACAGCACTGAGTACCTCAAGAAGGTATGGTGGAGAAGTGCAAGATATGATACAGTACCTGCCTTCTAGGGCTCGCATCCAGATCGGACCAGCTGTACTGGTCCCTGACGTGAGGACATGTCCTGTCATGGACAGCCCCTGATGCAGAGCTCACATTTCTGGATGTGAGCAGAGAACACAGGCAAACAGGCCCTCCTTCGGTGCAGGGCACCTAAATGCAGCCTAAGGCACTGCCTCCTGGAGCCACATGCCCATCCCCACATTGTCTGACTGACTGCTAATAGGTCTTTTTCTAACCAGCAGGCCCTTAGGCAAGAATCAGTCAATGCCTACTACCTGCCAACCTCCTGAGGGGCTTTCAGGAAGTAGAGGTAACAGAAGGAAACTGTCTCTGCCACTGAGAAATTTAGGGAAGATTGAAGAAAATAATTGTATCAGACTGAAAAATTAAGCATTCTCATGTGTTGCAAACTGCTCTAGGTTGTGAGGAAGGAGGGATCCTGTGGGCTAAGATTAAGAGAAGGCTTCCTAGAGGAGGCAGGTTTGAACCGATCCATAAAGAACTTGTATGTGTTAGGAGTGGGCAAGCCTTCCAGTCAGAGGGAGCTAGTGAGCAAAGAATTTATGGACAAGATTAATTGAGGGAAAAACATGAGTGGGGGCAGAGTGAATGGTCAGTGGAGATACTGGCCTCCACTGCAAGGGAGGTGGACTTCTAGGTATTTTTGTCCCTTAACTGCCATCGTAGCCCAGAGCCCATTGTGGTGCCCAACTTCTTTTTGCCTCCCCAGCAGTTGGAGGCTTCCCTGCGGATGCTGTCACTCTCAGCAACTTTGCCACCAGCAGCCACAACAGATCAGGTAAGAGAATGGCCAACTGACCTTTCTCCTATAGAGTCATCATCTCTTCCACAGAACAGTGCACAGAAGGCAGAGCTGCCCCAGGCCATCTTCCTGGAAAGGCTGCAACAGGGGTCACTCCTCAAGCTTGTACTGAGCATATTCTGTGGGCCCAGCAGTAGTCAGGGAGCTCAGGAAAAGTGAGGAAGAGCAAATGTGTAAGAGCAGGGCATTGTCGGCCAACACTGACATGCGCAAGAAAAAAGCAGTGCAGAAGCATGAAAGCAAGAGGCAGCTAAGAAATGTGTATTGAGTGCTGTGGGAGTCCTCACCAAGCAAGTAGATAGGAGCACAGACGTAACCTTACGGGAGTGCAACAGTAAGATCTGAATGAGCAGAATATCAGTCATACAACTATTTGCCATTTACAAAACACCTCATAACTATTCATTCAGCTGAGTTAGGTGGTTGGAACTCTGGTACAAATCCCACATCTCCTCTTTTTTGCCTTGGCACAGCACCTGACCTTTCTTGCAAGTGGCAAGAAAATAAACAATAATAATAACTACTTTTGAGTACCTCCTCTGTATCAGGTGTCATGCTGGGTACTGAGCATATAATAGTAAATAAGACAGACAAATTCCCTGTCTTCATGGAGTACAAATAGTAAACAAAAACTAAAATATTTATAGACATGAGATGGGTACCAGGGTCTCTCCGAGGAGGCTGTGTTAAAGATGGTAGTTATGGTGGTGCTTAGCATGTACCAGGCACTGTTCCAAGTACTTTGTATTAATTAATCAAATTCAGCAACTTGATGAGGAATATACTATCATTACTTCTATTTAAAATGAGGAAACTAGGCCAGGCATGGTGGCTCATGCCTGTAATCCCAGCAGTTAGGGAGGGTGAAGTGGCGGGATCGCTTGAGTTAGGAAATTCAAGACCAGCCTGGTCAACAAGGCAAAACCCCATCTCTGCTAAAAATTACAAAAATTAGGTAGGCGTGGTGGCACATGCCTATAATCCTAGCTACTTGGGAGGCTGAGTCACAAATATCACTTGAGCCCAGGAGGTGGAGGTTGCAGTGAGCCATGATGGCACCACTGCACTCCAGCCTGGGTGACACAGTGAGACGGTATAAAAAATAAAATGAGGAAACTGAGGCTCAGAGCTTCACATATTGACCCATAAGCTATGACTATTTCTGTGTATATATAAAGAAACTGAGATGCATAAAGGCTGAGTCACTTACCCAGGGTTACCCAACCAGTAAGTGAATCTAAATTTTTTTTTTTTTTTTTGAGACTCTCGCTCTGTCGCCAGGCTGGAATGCAGTGGTGGATCTCAGCTCACTGCAACCTCTGCCTGCTGGGTTCAAGTGACTCTCCTGCCTCAGCCTCCCAAGTAGCTGGGAGTACAGGCATGCACCACCACACCCAGCTACTTTTTGTATTTTTAGTAGAGACGGGGTTTCACCATGTTGGCCAGGATGATCTCAATCTCTTGACTTCGTGATCTGCCTGCCTCGGCCTCCCAAAATGCTGGGATTACAGGCGTGAGCCACTGCGCCCGGCCTGAATCTAAACTTCTGACTCACAACTCTGTGCTCTTCTCTTACACCACCTGAAAATCATGACATTTGACTTATGGTACATTTTTCTGGCCAGTTAGATTTTATTTAGCAATTAACATGTATACATTTTATATGCTTTCCCAGAGGCCACATTAATGAAAAATGGGGTCAGTCCAGAAGTATCCTGATGTATGTCTTTGGCCTGTTAAATACTAGATACAAAGTATGGGAGAGGGAGAAATAAGAATTTCCACTTCAATTAAAGAGCAAGTCTACTTTTGAGAAGATAATACTTTTCAGCCTTTTTTCTTTGTTGCCCTTAACAACATTCCATTGTTTGCTGCTCTCAGAGTCACTTCTGTCCTTAGGACCTCATTCTGGGTCCTGGTTCGGATGACCAGTCATCATGGTTTTCCCAGAACTGTCGCAGTTTTACCACTGGAACCCAGAATCCAGTAAACACGGGGAGGTTAGTCATCCTGGCTAGTGATGGGCCTCTCACTACTTGCTGGGTTATTTCAGCACATTTTCTCAGAATCTTACGCTCCTGGCTGGCTGCCAGCCAGCACTGGATGACTTAAGAAATAAGATCATGTATATATTTAGGACACTAGCAAGTAGAGACACCAAAATTTAAGAGGAAAACATTTTTAAGAATTACATTTTTAAAAAAGATTGAAATTGTTACCTTGGGATAAATCACAACATCAACTGATTTCTTTATACTTAGTTTAGATTTAATTTTGAAATATTATTTGAGCAGGAGCACCATCATCTTGTGACCTTTATTAAAAAGGCCTCACTTTGAAGAACTTGAGACAAAAATAGTCTTTTCTGTTTACCCACATACTTACTATTGCTGTTGTTCTGCATTTCTTCTTCACATCCTGATTTCTGGCTGGGACCATTTCCCTTCAGCCTGAGAAACTTCCTTTGGAATTTCACGTAGTGTGGACCTACTGGTAACTGATTATCCAGCTTCAATTGTCTGAAAATATCTTTATTTTGCCTTCATTTTTGAAAGTTTTTTTTCTACTGGATATAGAATTCTAACTTGAATTTTTGTTGTTTTAGCATTTTAGAGATACCTTTCCACTGTCTTCTGTCCTCCATTGTTTCTTATAAGAAGTATTGTTCTGATTGTTCTTGCACTGAATGTAACATGGCCTCTATTCATTTCTTGTTTTTAAGATTTTCTCTTTATCTCTAGTATTCAGCAGTTTGATTACAGTATTCATAGTTGTGGAGACAGGGGATGGTTTAGAAGCAGGGGAATGGCATAGGGGAGGAGGAACATAAAGATCTATTCAACAGTATTAGTGATGTTTCGGTTCTTAGATTGGGTTGTGGGTTTACAGATGTTCATTTTCTTGGGCTTCGTGATTTACTGTTGTTACATAGATTCATTGGTATGTTATGCAAAGAAATCACATAATCATATGTCATTAAAATTATACAGTGATTGAATGATGATAAGATGGAGACTCCAACTCCTTCCACAAATTAAGCTGTGAATATGGAGCAGAGAAATAGGGCAGTGGCTGGAGTGGCACACCAAGGGAGTGGCAACCAAGGGAGGTTGTTTTTGTTTTTCAATATGGGAAGGCTGCAGCTTTCTATGTGCTAATGCAGCAATCCCATAGAGAAAGGGAGAAGGGAAGACACAGAAGCGGGAGAGAAAAAGGAGAGGGGGAACAGAAAGGGCATGAGATTTAGAGCACATGTGGAGGTATTGGCCTTTTGAGAGGAAAAAGAAAACTCACCTAGTGTCATGAAGGAAGGCAGAGAAGATGGGTGCTAAAGCAGACAGGATTAGAGACTGGTGGTAGGGTTTCAAGTTGATGGAAGCTCCTGTTTTCTCGGTGCTGCTTCAGACACAGTCAGCGGCTCTAAGTGAGAGGGAGGGAGACAAGGGCAGGAGCCCTGTCCTGTGTCCGCATTTGAGAATTCCGTCTCTTCTGCCTCCTCCTAAGGCCAGCCTTGGCCCTCACAACTGAAGAGGAGCGCTTTGAGAGGCTGCAGGGCTCTTCTTAACCACTGTCCTGGGACTGCTATACTAAAGCTGACCTGCTTCCAGGTCAGGGCTAACAGCCCATCCCTGAAACAGGAGAGGGCTTGTAATTGCTGGATTGATTGCTCTGGTTTCCCCCATGATCAAAGGCAAGACCTGATCTTTCACTCCACATTGAAATGATATACCTGAGCCAAGGAACCTCCCAGTCTCCACTGGAAGCATCTGTGAAAGAGATGTCCCCTCCCTCCTCCCACAGTAGAGTGGATACAGGACCCTGTGTGACATTTGTCAGATCTTTGGACTTTTCTGAATCTGCTTCCTCATCTGTCAAATGGGGTTATCAGGCCTCACAGGGTGGTTGTACTGTAGAATACCGAGTGCCACACAGGTAGAGTATTGGGGCCAGCCTGTAATTCCCACCCCATGCTACCTCATCTTCTGGCTGTTGCCTCCGCAAAAAGAAAAGGGGTGAGAACAATGGCTGGTTTAGCAGGACTGTGGCACAGTGATCCATTTGCAGTTCCAGATTCATTATAAATCAATCAAGTTCCACTGCCCTTGCTTTCTCTTCCCTCTTATGATGAAGTAACTCTTTACTGGGGACAGCTTCCTAATTTTGTTAAAAGTTATGTATGATTCTGCCTGCTTAGCTGCTGATGGACAAACTAGTTTTATCAACTTCGGTACAGGGGAGGAGAGAGGTTGATGATGAGAACGGCAGTAATTTGCTTTACATGTTGTCTTCCTCAGACTATGTCTTTTGCTCTGTAGATTTTCTCTCTTGGGAATATCTCAATCACTGATGACTTCAAATATGACTTCGAATGATGCAAATCCTTATCTTCAGTCTAGTCTTCTCTCCCATGCCGCAGACACGTACAGACTCAACTGCATCCTAGACGTCTTGTCTGATGTGTCACACACAATTCACTCTGTCCAAAACTTGAGCTTGTCATCTTCCTTTGCATACTTCCTCTGCCACCTGCATCCATATCTCAGGAAATTCAGCCACCATCCATGTAGTTACTCCTGCCTGAAGCACAATTATCTCTCACCCCTGCTCCTTTATCTCCCATGACCCATAGCCAAGACCCACATCACCAAGGCCTGTTAATTCTGCCACCTAAGCATCTTTTGAATCACTCACTTCTCACCCTGCCCTTGTCTAGCCCAATCATCTCCCCACTATTTTTTTTTTTCCCCAAGACGGGAGTGCAGTGGCATGATCTCGGCTCACTGCAACCTCTGCCTCCCGAGTTCAAGCAATTCTCCTGCCTCAGCCTCCCCAGTAGCTGGGATTACAGGTGCATGCC